AGACAAAGTATTGGTTAGAGTATTGGTGAAAGCAGGAAAAAAATTATCAGACAAATGGGAAAAAGAACCTTACAAGATTATAGAAATTCCAAATGAAGACATTCCAGTGTACAAAGTTCAAAAAGATTCAGGTAAAGGAAAGATCAAAACCTTACACAGAAATTTATTATTACCATTTATGTATATTTCAGATACCAGTGAAGGACTACCACAGAAAAAAGAAAAGCAGACTAGGAGGCAGTGTACGAGACCTACTGACTCGGATGATAGCTCATCATCCAGTGATGAGGTATACAGAGTAAGTACACGTAGTAGAGATCGGACTAGGCCTGATACTTCAAGTATCCACCATGTGAATGATTGTTATAAATCTTTCGGTACCGAGGGCAGAGTTAGTTCCGACAACTTAAGTCGCGGTTCTCATAATTCAACACAGTTCGGACCAAATTCGACTGTTAAGACAGACAATGAGTCTCCCATTCTGTCTGTACCACACATAGATTTACCACCTTCATCCCCGTCTTTGTCACAAAATGGTGATGTTAGGAATGTACTAAGTCCTATAGTTTCGCCGCGCAGATCTCTGAGGAGATCCACTAGGGTTAAGAATGCTCCTGACAGGTACGGTAGTTGGTATGTGGGAGATCACCAGGTTTGGTATGTGTAAGTGTTAGTGACACAGGAAGAATGTCACAGATAGAGTTAAGTTATTATGACTAACAGTAGATGCCAAGAGGTATATGGACTTTATTGTATATAGTTTTATGACTTTAAATGGTTACAATATAGGTAACAGTAGAGTTTTAAGGTTTGATGGTTATGATACATAACAAGGTACCTGTAGTATTATGACTAAGGATTATAATGCTAATTAGATTGTTTGGTTTAATATTTTTCATATCATAGTTATTTGCATATTATTTTTTTTATTTTAGTTAAAATGTCAGGAGACATTTTCCTCTTACACAGGGAGAATGTCACAGGATCATTATTTACTATGTTTACTATGGTTTAATTTGCGCATGCGTCATTTCTTTCATTCATCCATTCATGGGTTGTAAGTTCATGACCTCTGATGTCATACGGTGAGTATGGAATGCGTATGGGTGTGTTTGACTGGTTTTTCTAGTCACTGCGCATGGCTGGCGCGAATTTTATTAACCCTTGCATGAAATAATATTTTTATTCACATCGTATGAAAACCCTCGCAGAGACAGACGTTACGGGTGACTTACATCAATGTAACCTATCCTAAATAAATAGGAATGTATAAATTCTGTCTACATGGTAAGTTATTTTAATTAAACTATTTTATAACCAGTAAATTAAATTATGAATTAAATAATGATATAAATCTCAGTTAAAATATTTAATGTGTGAATGAACGGTACGTAAGGTATTCATATTTATTGTAGACCACCATTGATGATATATACCATATTGCTATTATTCCACTTGAAGTGAAGAATCGTAATTAAAATATAATTGAACAATTTATCTGAGCTGTTTGTGTTTTGGAGAAATACGAATTCACGTATTGTGACTTTAATAAGAAAAGTTACGCCCTATGACATAAACATGGACATGTAGTATCAAAAACAGAACAATCATGTGATATTTAATCCTCGTGTTTGGATCTTCCATAGGACAACGCCACAAGAACATGCAAGTGATAACTATTTTTTAAGTTTCAGTAAAATAATTGCAACGGCACAATTATTTTGTTAAAATCAAATCTTGATTGAATTTGTAACTGAATTTTTATCCTTTGTTATATTGAAAACATAGAGCAAAACTGATCTGCTAGGAAGAAGTATTGATTTTAATTTGTTTTACGTCTTATTTGAGAATTCTTCACACCTCAAGAGAAGCATCAAATGCCGACCAAGAGCTTCAAAGTTAAACATGTACTCGGCATTTAGGGTACCAAACAGAATGTTGTTAACAAGTTGGGTACATATAATGTAAATATTGACAGAAAAAGTTGTGATAGAAAGACAAATGCTTATGGATATCAACTACTGAATTTTTGTAAGGCAAATAGTTTATATATAATGAACGGTAGAGTACTAAAAGATGAAGAAAGTGGGAAATTTACAACTACAATTAAGGTCAAGTGTTGTTGACTAATTCATATGCAATGCTGATTTTTTTTAAACTTGTAAGATATTTTGAAGTATTAGATTTTAATTGTTTGTACTCGGATATTCATATGCCACTGACATGTCATCAAAATTATATTACATGTGGTGATAATGAATTAGAAAATGTGCCACAAAGAAATTTACCAGAAAGAATTAAATCGTGGGATCCCACTAAATCGAATGAATTCTGTAATAACATAAGTGCACTAGAACTGCTGAGTATTGAGCAAACTGTAGACAACAAAATATCAGACCCTAATAATATTCGTAAAAGCGATGTAGATCTTCTGTTTAATAGCACGGCTAATCTATTACTATCCTCGGCAAAAACTACATTTTGTACATTTTTACTACGCAATTTTGATACAAATAGAAGCAAAAGAACTAAACAATGGTTTAACGATGATTGTTACAAGGCAAGGAAATTTTGTAGAAAAACTAAACGTAGATACAAATTATATGGATCTAATATCTAATTATATTGATTATAAATTAAATGGATCTAATATTTTCAAACAAGAATTACCAGACGCCCAAAGAAAATATAAATCTACTCTAAATAAAGCATACAAAGATTATAGAGCTAAATTACAATGTGATATTAAAAAACTAAGAAGTTCAAACCCAAAAGAATATTGGAATATTGTAAATGGTAAAGGACCTAAAGAGCACCACAACATAAATATTGTAGATTTTTATAATTATTTTAAGAATGTTAATGAAAATGAACACGAATCAGAAGGTTCAGATGACGAACTAGACAATCATATTGTGGAATCGTTTGCTGATAGTTCCTTTATTATTGACCCAATTACCCCAAATGAAATTCTGAATGTGGTGAAGACAATTTTAAAAAACAATAAATCTCCAGGACCTGATACTGTTATAAATGAGTACATTAAATCATCTATTAACGTTATGGTGTCACTGTATGTAAAATTGTTTAATCTAGTATTTGATAGAGGTATTGTCCCAGAGGCGTGGTTAGCTGGAAATATAAAACCAATCTACAATGTATAAGAAAAAAGGTAGTTATACCGATCCACAAAACTATCGTCCTATAACATTGTTCAGTTGTCTTGGAAAAGTTTTTACATCTCTACTCGCCATACTTTATCAAATGCAGCTTTAAAATCAATAAAGGCACAATATAATTTCTTTTGACACTATCATTTTTCATCGTTTTTTTTTTGTTTTTGTTTTTTTTCACGCATGCTGAATTGTATTGTATTGTACATAATTTATGTTTGTATTTTCTCTATACTGTTGTGCAGTTTCAGAGAAAAAACTATTGAATTGAATTGAAAGGGTTCGTGTCGACTTAAATCTTGATTTTTCAAGGTCTCGTCCGAAAAGTATGTGACTTTCTTTGCTAATGCCGGGTGCTTTGCAAAGAAACAATCACAACCTATGTTTACCTCTTAGGTTTGACTCAGTGCATGCGTATAACAAGAATGCAGTCTACCATCAGAAACCGATCGGCATAATACTAGGGAATCGTGATCTTGATGTAGCCTTGTGAAAAGTATCTCTTAGAAATATCTACTCAGTTGTTAACATTGTTAATTCAGTCTATAAAACAAGCTTGCTCCGTAGGATAAAATCGGGGTTTCCTGTACTATCATTCCCAAATTATTATTGAAAAGATAGAGGGATTTTCAAATTATTTTCTACGACGGATTTCTTTATACTATTTTCGAAGTACGAAATTTAAATTCATAAAAATATATTTTTTTGCTTTTCATAAATAAATAAAATAAACTTCATCCTTGTATATGATTTTGCAACAAGGTAAAAAGTATGTGTTTTGTTTGTTGTGTTCATTTATGACAGTGATTTGTAATATCTTGATTCCGCAATACTTTATTTTGATGTTTTAATACTTTACAACTTACAAAATTATTATGCAAAATAAATTGTATCCTCACGTCATAGAAATATTACGTTACCATTTCCCCGCAAGCACTTTCTAGCGGGGTACAAGTTTCTATAAATTTTAGCGTTAATAATATCATGAGGTAATATTTTAAATAGAAAATAATCTTTCTTATTTTATGAGATTAAGCAAGTATGAAATAGTTGGAATTTGGCAATAAATTGAAGATTTAATGAACTTTTTAAAGTGCGTGAAAATGCGTGATTGCGGGGAAACGGTAAATGCGTCATTTTGCGTCAGAAATAGGAAATGGTATATGCGTTAAAATGCGTGACTGCGGGGAAGGGGGTTAACGTCAATTCAATCATGTTCCTAAACAGTCATTCCTTGGATGATAGTTTATCCTTTGTATTTCAGAATATTGTGAAGATTGTGATGAATTTATTTGTTCAAAGTGTGCAAAATCAGAGCATAAGGATCACAACTGGGACACGCTTTCTAACGTACCTAGCCAGAGAAGGGAACCTAACAGAGATAAAGGACGAACACATAAAAAAGTTTGAGGAGAAAAAGGAAAAAATACTATCTCGGGAAAAAGATAATATAACTCATTTTCAGAATGATATCAGAGTTTTACAGAAGATTTTGATGACGTGATTTGCAGGCTAACAGAAATCAAGACAAGCAATGAAAAAACATTGAAAAACCACTTGAGCAAAGTAAAAGAACAAATAAAATCTCTGAAATCTCAGATGGACAAGAAAAATTTCCAGCTTGTTGACACCATAGAATTAATTGAGACAGAATTATGTCATATTTCACAGCTCGATCGACAGCTTAAAAATTCTTTTTTTTTTTTTTTTTTTTTTTTTATTATTCACATCTCTTTTTACAATATAAAACATTGAATTAATACATGATGTTTTTTTTTTTTTTAAATAGAGATAGGTAGAAAGAGGAATAGAGGAGAACAAAAGAAAGAGAGGAGAGAGAGAGAGATAGTAGTGAAAGAGAGAGTTTAATAGAAAAGTTGGTTCCATCTGATCCACTGGGCATCAAATTTTTCTTTTCCACTATTTCTATAAGATATAAATTTGTGTATTTCATAATAAAACTTCATTTGTGATATTGCAGCACATAAATTCAAAGATTTCTTAGTACATCTTGATGTGTAAACATAATATTTCAGCCAAAGGGCAATAGTATTTTGAATATCAGTATTATTCTCAATGTAACCTAAAATAAAAGATTTTTTTGTAATATTAATGACTAGACCAGTCTTATCTTCAAGAAAAATTACAAATTCTTCTAGAAAAGATTGTGTATAATCACATTCCCATAAAAGGTGTTCTATTGTTTCTTCTTCTGAGAGGCAAAAGTTGCAGTATTTAGAGTCATTTTTGTTAATTTTGAATAAAAATGAATTTGTTGCTAGAATTCTGTTTATAATTCTATATTGAAACCATTGGAGTTTACAGTCTTTTGTCACTCTGAAGGGTATTTTGTGGAATTTTTTCCATTCTTTATTGTCAATCTGTAACATCTCACTCCACTTTGTTTTACCTGTTGACATAGAGGAGTTATGGTTAAGAATTTCATAAAAACATTTGGATTTGTGACATTTCATCACCTTGTAGATAATTCTCATAATTAATGGGTTTTCTAGCTTTTTAATAGGTATGTCAAGGCCAGAATTTTTTATCCAAGATTTTATAGCATGAATAATACTACTATATTCTAAAAAATTCATCTTAATCATGGGATAGGTATTACAAAAAGATTCAAAACTTAGAAAAGAACCATCTTCATTGATAATATCATTAACTCTTCTAATGTTGTTGTTAAACATTTGTTTATTATAAAAGGGTTTCCCCCCAATACGAATCATTGGGTTGTAAAACAGAGGTGAGTCACCAGCAACCTCAGATACTATCTCATGATTTTGTAGTATTATCCAGGATTTGAAAACATCTATCCAAAATTTATTTTTCAAAGTCTTCAGATAGATTGTGACATAGTCAATTCCACAATTTATAAATTTGTCTAAGTTGAAATTTGGAATGAGATGTTCCATACCCCTATTTGTAAAAATGAGCTGTCTTATCCAAAATAATTTCATAGATGATATAAAAGACTTTAGGTTTAACATTTTCAATCCCCCATCTTCATAATTTTTAATAATAACTTCTTTTTTAACCCTATGAATTGAATTATTCCATAGAAATGAGAAGAATATTTTGTCTAATTCTTTGCAGTATGATTCAGTGGGATTTGGTATTGACATTAAAATGTGATTTAATAGAGGTAAAACTAATGTCTTAATGACTGTTATTTTCCCAATTGGAGTTAGGTACCTTTTCTCCCATTGTCTAAGTATTGATTTAATCTGTACTAGCTTGGGATCATAATTTAAATATAGTAACTTATCCAATTCCACATCAAAATGTATTCCTAGAAGGGTAAATCTAGTAGTTCCCCAGTTAAGATTGTAATTTGGCAGTAATATTTCATTGCTATACTTTTTGGAGCCTATCCATACTATATGAGTTTTGGCATAATTAATATGTAAGCCAGACATTTCTGAAAAACTCTTTAATGTTTTTAATGTTTCCGCAAGGGATTCTTTACTACCATCAAGAATAAGAGAAGTGTCATCAGCTAATTGAGAAATCTTTTTTTCAGTATTGTTCACAGTTATTCCTTTAATATTTTTGTTTAATCTAATTTGAATTGCTAGTATTTCTGCACATATAATGAATATATAAGGGGATAATGGGTCCCCTTGTCTGCAACCCCGCTGGATGTTAATTCTTTCAGAAAGATTACCACCTTGATTTATTGCAGATGTAATGTCCGTATTAAAAAGTGACACCCAATTCCTAATTGAGGGACCAAAGTTAAAAAATTTAAGTGCTCCTTGAATAAAATTCCAGGACAAAGTATCAAAGGCTTTTTCAAAATCAATAAGTAATAATAACCCAGGTATATTTTCTTCTTCCGTATAATGCATTATATCATATATTAACCTTGTATTTTCACCTATATATCTATTAGAGATGAAACCTGTTTGATCTTTGTTAATAATTTTGTCAAGGTATCTTTTTACTCTATTTGCTATAGTACCCGATGCAATTTTATAGATAGTATTTAACAAAGTGATTGGTCTCCAATTCTTTAAGTATTGTCTTGGCTTATCACCTTTTGGTAAAAGTGTAATAATGCCATGTCTTTGTGTAATAGAGAGACTTCCACTTCTATAACTGTAATTTATAGATCTAACTACAAAGGGACCAATATATTTCCAAAACATCTTAAAAAATTCAGCAGAAAAACCATCAGAACCTGGAGATTTATTAGATTTCATTTTGTAGAGTGTTTCTGAGGCTTCTTCCAAAGTAATTTCACCTTCTATAGATTCTGTTTCCGTACTAGAAAGCTTTGGTATTTCTTCATTATTTAATTCATTGAATAGATCAGTATTTGGGTTTACTGTACTAGTTCTATATAGTTGTTCATAAAATAATTTTGCTTCTTTTAAAATTTCTGATTGATCATAAATAATATTACCACTATTATCCTCCAATCTAGGTATAATCTTACTAGTAAAATTTCTGGATTCTAATGCACAAAAATAGTGTGTTGGTTTTTCGCCTTCTTCGACCCATTTTGCTCTACTCCTGATATAATTACCTTGCAATTTATGCTTTCTAATGTTCTCCAATTCTTGCTTTTTACTATATAATTCATCAATATTACTTTCAACATTTTCTTCTAATAGTTTGATACTTTCTATTAAAATTTTCTCTTTGTTTTCTCTTTTCTTTTTGATATATGATGCATATGAAATAGTTTTACCTCTTATCTCTAAAAGCAGAGTTTCTAAAAATAGCTGATCATTAACAGTGAAATAAAAATTGGAATCTGGAATATTATCTATGTTGTCAAAGTTATATACTGGGATTGCATACTGTTTCTTAACCTCTAAAATTACATTTTTAATGCAATCTAAGTAATTTTCATCAGGCTTGGGGTCAATTACTTTAAAATGTAATTAATTACTTTCAAATACATTGATTATTTTGTCAATTACTTACAATTACAATTACATTGATTTTTTCAAATGTAATTAATTACTTTCAATTACTTTGGCAAATGTAATTAAATACATTTCAATTACTTGAGTTTTATTTAAAAAAAAAAAAAAGAAAGAAAGAATTTTTTGTAAAAATAAGATTTTTTCTATAGTGAATTTTTATTGGGTGTTTTTGTTCTTGGATATGACAGGGGTTCACACCTGGACCAATTTAGACCTTTACCTATAATGACTTGGGCAATGTGACACACTGTATAAACAAATTAAATTAAACATTATGAGACATTTAATTATTGTACAAACACAAGCCCATGCTACACCAGCATGGTGTATGAAGTTTGTTACTTTCTTGATTCCATATTTTTGAATAAAATAACTTAATATTTCTCACAAATCTATTCAGTATTTTCTATCTTAAAATTTATAGAATACATGCACATGTAAATCTTAAAGGGGATGTAGTTAGTTTATAATTACTGTAAAACAAATTAACTATCTAAACCATCTATTGTAACTTTCAAGTGGGAATAGGTTATAAAATTGAGATTTTCAAAAAGTGGGAATAGGTAGTATATATCCACCAGTGTAAAAACTGTGTATCAGTATATAAACTTTTATTTTGAAAAAAGTAATTGAAATGTAATTGAAAAGTAATTGAAAATACATGACCTTTTTTGAAATGTATTTAAATACATTCAATTACTTGTAATTGAAAGCTCACTCAAATACAAATTACTTCCAATTACTTTGAAAAATGTAATTAATTACACTTAATTACAATTACTTTATTCAATTACCCCATCCCTGCACACAATCTTTTCAGTTCCCATTACCGGCGGCGTCTTTATACATGTACAACGTAACACCCCCCTGTGTACCTGGTCCTAGTTGTTGTTTTAACAATTTACTGACATATTTAAAAAAAACGGTACCGTAGCAGATCACTTGAATATTTTAAAATATATGTCATCAACCAGAGAAGATTAAATTTTGGATCAATCCCCTCCCTTACCACACATACAATAAAAAATAACTAATTTAAAAAAAAAATGATATCAAGAAACTAAGAAATAAATAGGTCCCTGATAAAAGCGAATATTGCAAAGATTTAGTTATTCTTATTCGTCTGTCATGAAAAAACCCATCAAAGTATATCTTTCTGAGAATTTTTATTATATATGTACATAAAAAATAAATATTACGTAAAATGTAAACTTAGAATAATATGCTATATCACCATAATAAAATAATTAGTTGAGATCCCGAAAAAAATAACCCAAGTCCCGAATCGTCTTTACCCAAGTCCCGAACCGTCTTGTCGCTAGTCCCGAAACGTCGTATAAGTCAGGTCCCGAAACGTCGTGGTCCCGAAACATCTTGCACCCCGTTTGATTCACAGATACCAAAACAGAATCACTACTCTGATGTAATTAGTTTTAAACACATCGTGAATAACAATAAACAAAAACGTTTTCTGAGAAAATTGTGCTTATATTTATAAAGATATTAAATAAAATATGCTCCCCGGCCTAACTTCCCACACCTATATTTATTGCAACGTACAATTTCTTTTGTTTTGTATCTTATTCATGCTTCAAATTTACCAGCCTTGTTTACATTTGGAACTCATTGGATTGTTCGTAGTAAATGGACTGAGTACGAGTTATCATCCGTGATTCTTTAGCTACATTGCTAATAAATAGAATTAATTCTATTGTTAAGGGGGCTCTCTACACCTATAAAGTATAACTGATTTTTATTGCATGCATTTGTTTCTAATAATAGGCGGGCAATTATAGGCCCCATATCCGATAAAATAAGGTTCCAAAGTATTTCAATTTATTATTTAGAAATATTTGAAATATTTTATTTATTTTGTTAAAATCCCTCCTATCAATTTTTTTAAATGCCCATTGCTTTAAATTTCTCTTCAAAGTTTAGTGTTATAAAATATTGAAATAATAACCAACAAAGTTAAAAATAAAATCAACATAATTTTTATTTAAATTTACAAAAATAGACAAAAGAAAAACTAAAACAGCATTTTCTTGAGAACAGCTGGTTGGATCCTCTTCAATATCTGAAAAGATATATAATATCAAAGGGTAAAAACAATGAAAAAAAGAAATTGAAAAAAATTGAAAAACTGTCAAAAATTTATAAACATCACAAAAATTCAGATGTGAGAGATCCGCTTTAAGAGTGGACTCAAATATCTTGGTACTGTTTTTTTTTATAAATTCAAATAAACTCTACTTGCACAAGTATTAAACAAATGTCATGCAAGGACATTGAAAGAAGTTCTTATTGTACATGTATTGTTTTTCAATTAGTTTAAGCGAAAATCATCGCGTTTCCAGTCAATGACAAAGACATGTATTTAGTGAATTCATGGTTTTGAGAAAGGTAGATTTACTTACCGTTTTTATCCAATTTGCATGTGTTATCCAGTGCTATATACGAGCGTATAACAAAACAAGTTAAGATGGTAAATTACCAGAAGCGGTAAAAGAAATTCCTAGAACCAAATGCACAAATCATCTAAAACCTGCACGTTTCCCATACTTGTAAACAGCTGACAATCAATGTTGATCAAACGTTTGGGTCATGCGAAATTTCACCGGGTATAACCATTCATTCGGGTGTAAACAAATTGTGAACAGAGTATCCTCTAGTCGATAGGAAGATAATACATATGTCTTATCGGATCAAATTTGCATTTTGGGGGGATATATTTTGCTGGAAAGCATATATGCTTATTGAAGAAAGAAATTTCTGTGTGTATGGCATTTTGACACGTAATGATGAATTAGCATATGGACAAACCATGTTTTATATCATTTTTTTCTCTCACCTAAAAATCTTATTCTAATAAGTTTGTAAATGTATTATTTAATAATTGAATAAGTAGAAATTGAATAAATTGACAAACAATTCAATTTTAAAGAAAGGATAAGTATTGGGCAATACACTATATATTAATTGATGTGATATAAAGGACATTCCATCCACATTATCGCATGTTGTGTTATACTCAATGATTTATCGGTGTTAAGTGAATTTGTATCTGATCATTTGGGATCAAAATGGCGTTTTTACGGAAGTACGCCATGTTGTGACGTTGTAGAGGGCCCCCTTAAACCAGGTCCATAGGACAATATCATTTTAATGATAGAACATTCTATCTGTGGTTATGTCAGAGGGCTTATCCTGAAACACACATGTCAGTCTATTCTAACAATTTATCTTTTGGAAATTAAAAGTTGTGCTACCACCTTTAAAACCATACTTTACAATGTAATTTGTTTATCTGAGATAATTTTCTACACATTTTGCATTGCTTTTCTTTTATGAGAGTGAAGGTAGGGCAAAATAGAGATAAGAATATTTCTTTATCATGCATTTCAATGTTTGAATATAATATCATGATTATAAAAGTGTGGTTTTATTCATATTAGATATAATAGGTTTATACCTGTAATACTCTCTAACCCAACACTCGTGCAGTCCATATCCTTTCACTATAAATCATGGTGAATTCTGACCCTTATTTTTCAATGCCATTCTTACTGTTTAACTTTGCTTGTACTAAAATTTAAGTCTTGATGCTCATGTTGATAGGCTCATTAGGCTTGTTGGGTTGACTACTTTTGATATATAGCCTTCATTTTTACATATGTAATATCAACTTCATGGTTTATAAAGCCAATACTATAAAACCAGTTTCTTTAGAGCTCAGCAGATGAGAATCATTTTACATATATCATAGTTTTCCTATTAATGTCAAGGTTGGGTTGGTAAAGGAAGGTTTAACATAAACGTGATAAACTGAACATATTTTATTATCTGTACCACATATTTCATTTCCGTGTGTGTACTTCCTAGATCTTATACAATGTTATAAATCTGAGTAGATACTTCTGGTAGTAGCAAGGAAATACTTGTACTTTCACAAATATTGCATCCTGTGTTGTATCACAAACTGTAAATGAAAAACATTAACACATTGAATGGTGGTCATTAGTCTCAATGACATCACTGCATGATGAAATTCAGACAGAGACAGAGTTTGTCTAGTCTCATGTATCTTTTGTCTTTCCCGAAATCGTCTTTCTCTTGATAAAAACTATAATGATATAAAATGTAACAATTAATGCAGTTAAACATTATCATTGATGTTTCCTTGTATTTCCAAGGTTTTAGAACTGAAATTGGGGCTTTTTCTGGGTTTTTCAGCCAAAATAATTATGTCAACTAGTGTATGCAAATGACCCTTTGAACATTGAATGGGCTACATTTGCACATTTACGGTTTATATACTGGTAAAGAATAAATTTTGCCTGAGCAGTATAGTATGATTCTATCTACCATAATCCAGGCAACCATAATGATTCTTGTATATTTTGATTGCTGTGATTGATTTACCTTTTAATTTTTATGTTGTGAATCTGGATTTGGTCATTCTGTGTGTGTGGGTTTTTCATAGGTTGTGACTCTGGATTTGGTCATCCTGTTCTTTTTTTTTTCTTTTTTTTTTTTTTTAGGTTAATTGTGATGCTGGATTTGGTCATCCCATGTTTTTTTTTAAATTTTATTTTATTTTTTAGGTTGTGACTCTGGATTTGGTCATCCCATGTTTTTTTTGTTATTTTTGGATTTGGTTATCCTGTAATTTTTTTTAGCTCATCTGAGCCAAAGGCTCAAGTGAGCTTTTCTGATCAAAATTTGTCCGTTGTCTGTTGTCGTCGTTGTTGTTGTTGTCGTCGTCATTGTAAACTTTTCACATTTTCGACTTCTTCTCAAGAACCACTTGCCCTTTTTAACCAAACTTGCTACAAAGTATTCTTGGATAAAGGGGATTCAAATTTGTTCATATGAAGGGCCACGCCCTTTTCCAAGGGGAGATAATTATGAATTAGAGAAAAA